ATTACCAGGAAAGACTTCAGAAATCACTAGAGAAGCAATTGTTTATAAAATAATTTTAAAACAAGCTTAACATCCTTATCCAGTGGTGAGAAAAATTATTCAAACAATGAAATACAAAGAGAGCCTCTAATCTTCCCAGGAACAAATGTTGCAGTAAATCCAGCCCAGACGCTGAACTGTGTGCTTGGAGAAGCAATCAGCTAATATCAGTAATCTATAACACAAAGTATGAACACTGCAATTGTGTGTCTAGCTGTAGTAGGAGAAATGGCACAGGACCTGGCAGTCACTAAACAGTCAGGTAGAAGGTAGATACATCAAATCTTTGCTGTTGTGATTCTGTGGATTTGATGTGATTTACTTAAAGGTTTCCATCCCTTTTGATCTGCTGTTGTTTTTGCTCGCTGTTCATTTACAGGTTAATGTCTGGAACGTGTTGCAGGAAGTAAAGAACTGTTTGGAAATGCTTCCATGATATTCCGCAAAAGACCTCCTGTGATCCTCCATAGTTACATTCAGTCCTGCAGCTGTCATCCAGGGGCCCTGGCAGGAACCTGGGGCCCCTCCTCTGCTGTGTCCTCCTACAAACCTCATTGTACAGTAAGTGGCAGTTGGTGCAGCACTCTCAGCACAGCGGTGTCCAATAATGCCAATGCCAGCACTGCACATGAATAATAGGAACCCTGTGCAGCAGCCCAGCTGCTCTTGTCGGGCCCCGAAGAAGTCAAAGTCAGACCCCCTGAAAACCCCCAGCCCTGCAGCTCTGATAACACTCTTACATCCAGCTACACAGGAACTGGGCCAATCACAACCAAATCCAGCCTGTGGTGAGAACGCAGACCTGCCCATCTGCTTCCTGACCTTGGAGGTCGCTATGACAACGAAGGAGAGGCTGGTGAGGATGACCTCTGCTGGAGCCTGTCTGACCTCTGCTGATAGGACAGTAAAGGGTTTAGAAGAGACAAGAGTTACCCTTCACAAAACAAAAGTATATTGCAGCAAGTTGGAAAATCATCATACATTTCCATGTATGAGATTTCACATATGGGATTTTTGTGCAGTTTTTTTTTCACAGTGCATTGTGTTCTGCATCCTGATTGACTAAACAGTTTCTGCGCTTCTTCTCTACCTGTGTGCCAATAACGTCACGGTATTTAAATATATTTAAAATACAGCTGAGCTTTTACTTACAGAACAATTAAAGAAAATAATTCAGAAGTGCTTTCATGTTGACATTCTTCATAAGTTTCTCCATTCACCTACTTTTTGGTTATCAGGTATGATCTTGTTGCAATAACCAATAAATCAATTAATCAATCAATTAATCGGGTGGTAAATTAAGACGAGCTAAACTGACGTTCTAATGATTAATAGTTTTTGAAGAGCATCACAATCCATTTATTTATGGATAAATGGATTATTATGGATTAAATGGATTATTTATGGATAAATGGATTATTTATCCATAAATAATCAATTTATTTTGATTATTTATTTATCCTCAATAATTTTTATCTTCAAAAATATTGAGGATAAAAATATCCTTAATATTTTGAATATTGATATTAAAAATATCTTCTAGTTCCAGTGTTAAGTGTTCTTTTACAGAATTACAGTTTATTGATCTGTGACAGGACATTATTGATCCATTGCCAATATATTACTTAAATATTGCCTCAAAGCAACAATGTTATCGTTTATAACAATAATTTCTGGGACAATTAATTTATATATAAATTATCCAGAAAAATGTATTACTGTGACAGCACATATAGAATGATCCACTACTTTTCATCATGAGATATGAGATGTGATCATATCTCAGTATTTCAAGTAAAAACAGTCCAGTTGTCTTTATCCCTTCACTGCTCCAGACTGATTTCAGTCATTAGCTGTAAAGTACCAGCAGCTGGTTGTGGGTCGGACCTTAGCCTGGTTCCTCATGGCTCTTTTCTTTCAGGCAGCTTTTTGAAAATAGTTTGTATTATTATATTTTAACCTCCTGGAGCTCTTTAAACACACTTAGATGCTCCAAGGTACTGGAGGATCGTTTTATAATGGTGGAGCTCTTCCTACCTTTGGAGGGATGGAAACTTCCATGGGAAGCATTAAGCAGAGGGGAAAGTGGTTGGATGTGTATGTTAGTGAAGGGAGTGAGGTTGGGGGGAGGGGAGCTGTTAGGAGAAGGGGGGGGGTGACTGACAGGAAGCAGACCCCGTCTCCATCCCCACATTCCTCTAACAGATGTTTGACAGGGAAACTATTTTCACAGCTGAAGGGTGGGGGTTGGGGGGGGAGTGTCATAAGTTTTACGATGTATTACATACGAGGTGGAGAAATAAAAAAGCTCACCTGATGATTTCTACATAAGCATTTCTAATGTGTTGAAGTTCCCCTGATGCTCAGTGACGTTCCTCCTCCACATCTACAACACTTCTCTAGTTTTATCTGTGGAGGATAACACATCTATCAGTTACTCTCTAACGTGGAATGGAATGTGAGCTAAAGCTCGTAATGATTAATGAAGCAGAAACAGCCTCTAATGTCTCCAGTATGACCTTCCTCTGATAACAGTGAATATGATGATAGTGTAAGAGGAAAAACAAGCAGTGAAGGAAACCAGCAGCCAGAAAACAGTTAATGTGAAATGAAGATCTGTTTGAATGACAGGAAGCAGAAATTTGGGTATGAAACTTAGGAATCTATAGAATCTATAGATTCCTAAGTTTCATATCCAAATTTTAGACCTATTTTAAACCTCTTAAAATAGCAGGATTCACAAAGTGCTCATTAGTGTAGCACTTTACAATAAGGCTCCACTTATAGATGACTAATAAATAATACAGACTCTAATGGTTTACATCTACAATGAGAATCAGAGGACAGATGATGTGCAGTTGCCTGAGTGTCCATCGGTCCATCGGTTGAGGTAACCAGACACTGACAGTCCCCCAAAAGCACTAAAAGACTATCAAACCTGCACCTGTATCAGTTTCATGTATACTTTATTTTTATACAGCTTGGATAAAAACTGCTAAGAACTCTAGCTTCCAAACAAGTCTTTTTTTTTTATTTTAATCGCAAATGAGTTTACCTCAGTCAGAAAGAAACAAAACAAAAAAAAAAACTTTAAAATATGATCTATTTCTGCATATTTGACACATGTTTCAGGAACTCTAAACTAACTAACTCTGTCCAGTTGCCTCAGACTGAAGCCTTTACTCAGTCCTTTGTTTTTTAACAACTGGAAGGTCTGAATTTAAAGCTCTACTCAGTGGAAGGAAACCACAGCATGGAGAGGATCAAAATCCCTCCAGGTGTCAAGGCTGTGATCAGGTTCAGACCAGATGAAGGTGTGTGGCTTCAGCAGCTCCAGCTGGAGATTAAAACCCAAACTGAATATTTTAGAGAAACTGTTGTACAGTAACAGACAAAGTCAGCTACTCACAATGAAAAACCCTTAAATAGCTAACTTGCTTTTATTTAGTTAAAAACGAAGAGTCTTGCTGACATTTTTGGTTAATAAGTATTCAAAGGTAAATTACCCACAGATTTCAAGTTTTCCAGTCACCATACCTACAGGAGCAGCTCCACCAAAGCTGGAGTTGCTCCTCTATGGGAAGTCCGTTCCAGGGAGGGAACGCCACCACCAGGGTGAAAAGAAAGCACTCAGCCACTGTGAAATATCTGTAAAGTATTAGTATTGCTCAGCCACAATGGCACACAATGCTGGGAAGTTTTGCACTGCGGTGCAAGATGACACATCCGGTGTGGGTCAAAGAACACATCATCCCATTGTACACTGCCATCATTGTGTAGCATGGAGTGGAGGGATGGAGGGATGGAGAGGGCAGAGCAGCAATGTTGCTCTTTATTTCCAACTGTCTCAATTTTTACTCCATTCATAGAGGGTTTGTGTTCCAGACTTAGTCTTTGGAGCAGGGAGAAAACCCCCATCTAAGCCTGTGTCAAACTGGCTCTTACTTTAGTTATGGTGGAGACTGCAGCTCCAAGGAGGAGCTTTGTGGAAATAGGCAGTGCTGTGATGAGCAAGTGCTTAGTCATCCTGACTGGTTGCCATGGGAGATTAAAGAATTCCTCAAACACTCATTGAAGACTTGAAGCAACACTCCAGGCACGTTTCTGATGATGGAATAACATTATTGCATCATATGCAACTCAAAAAAGTTTATTTTTACATGACACAGATCTGCCTTGAATTTGAAGGGTTTCTGACATGATCAAAGTCCAAACTTTCATCTTCAGCTTCAGATTTGGAAAATCTGTAGTGCAGTGCTTTTCCAGAGCCAGAAGAGAGATGCAATTCAGGCTGACTTTGACTCAGACAGAAAGTTTAAAGTGGAATCCATGGCAGGAACTAACTGTACACAACTCCTTCCCCACTCAGATCCTTCAGACTAGCAGCAGCATAAATGGACAAACACCTGGATGAACTGTGAGTCTGCTGAGCTCCTCACATGAACCACTTCTGAATCCAATGTACCTAAGAACAGTTTGTAAACGGCACAGTTTGTAAACGCTCTTTAAGAGCGGGAGCTTCTTAAAGAGCTCCCGCTCTTTAAGAAGCGGGAGCTCTTAAAGAGCGGGAGCTCTCCTAGAAACTCCTAGAAATTGACCAATTTCTAGGAGTCAAATTGCAAAGTTCAGTTTCTTAACTCACAGTTGATATGTACAGCATTTTAACAACTGAAGGTGATTGTGCTATACTACTACAATGCTGCCACTTTGACCCACAGCAAACAAGCAAACAAACAAACAAACAAAAACCCAGAAACTGCACTCTAACTTTCCAAAGAACAAAACTTCCTTATTAACTTTCTTTACATAAACATATCAGGCTCTTCCATCAGAAGACATAACATACCTGAAGTTTACTTCAACAGCTGCCAAGAGAGCTTTAATAAAAGTGTGGGAAAGGCATGCAAGTGCTTTCTATGAGGTTGTTTGCATTGTATGTAGCAGGCTTCCACATGCTACAGTTTGCATGTCTGAACATGTATACTGCTTTGATGTCTATTGTTTTTCTTTTTCATTGAGTGCATGTGGTGTAACTGGAACACTAACAGGAAGAAAACTGAAAAGTTCTCCTTCCAGCAGCAGCACAGCCCAGTCTGCTGCTGAAATCCAACTCGACAAACTGGAGCAAACAGAGATGCTACAGCGAGCTCAGACCCGGCAGCAGAGCACTATGTCTGCTTAACGTGATATCCTGGGAAAAAGAAGAACACAGAGTTTCTCACCGTAGATAAGAAATTATATTATTAATTGCAGAGTACTGCACTTTAATAAAAACAACACTGATTTGTTGGCTAATTAATTTTGCATCTCTAATTGTTCTACACTGAATCATTTATCTCCCCCAAAAAACCCTGTTAGAGTGTAGAATCATTGGTCACAGCAGCAGCTTCCACAGGCTGCAGTGCTCTGGAAGCATATACACATCCCATAAACTTTTGCACATTTTGTCATGCCATCAATATCCATGATACTGATACAATTTTACCAGAAGCACTGGAAATGTAAAACCACTTATGAAATGCTTTGAGGGTGACAAAATCAACTCTTAATATTGCAGATTTTCCTGTCAGTCTGTATTTATGATGAATCTGTCTGGAGTAAAGTTCATGGAGAATTCTCAGGAGAAGATTAGTCTGCTTAAGGCCATCAATACTCTCAATAAATGTCATTGGACTCTTTCCATCAGACCACCTCATGTTTGAAGAAAATAGAACATATCGTGTGCGCGCTCATATTCATGTAGTGGTTTGTTAGGTTAATGTGCATAGCCTTCACTTTAGTTTTGATTCTGTCTCATCGTGTTTGCATGAAATGTAGTTTGTGTTGAGGTTAGCAACCTTATCACTCTGGTCACTGATGAGGAGATTTTTTATTAATTTATTACTTTAAAAAATTATATTTGTTGTCTCAGCTTAGATCTTGCTAGATTAGATGTAAGAACTAGTCATCAGGAGAGGAGTGTGTTTCCATGGAGACCACTAACTACGTAATTAAAATGTGCCATGTGTAAAATCTTCTGGTCAGTCCTGCCTTTAGCCTACCCAATCTAAGAGCTGTTCGACTTTTTTAAATGTTGCTTTCAAACTCATTTCTTAATGCTGTCAGACATCTTAATGTTATCAGCTGGTATTGATCAAATTAAAATTAAATGATCAAATGTTGAGAATGCTGGTTGGATTGTAAAGATCAGTTAGAAACACTATACTGTCACAACAGCCTTTATAAATCAGACCAGTGTTATTTGTGATGGTTCTTCCTCAGCTGGTGACCACATAGGCTGCTGCAAAAACTGAACAATAATGAAAAAACAAAACAAAACAAAAAAATATTAATGTAAAATGTTGTATAAACATTTTATTTCCCCGTTGACTGTAAAACATAAGACATTTTCAGTCAAGTTCTTATTGTCTAAAGAATAGAATAGAAGTTCTGGGTCCCGACCATGAACGACTGTCTGCACACAAGAAATAATGAAACTATTAAAAAACAACTCTGGTTCCCAAAATACAGATTGCCGACCTGTCCAGGATGTAGCCTGTCTCTTGACCGGAACGTTAGCTGGAGATAGGCACCAGCAACCCTCACGACCCCACTAGGGACAAGGGTGTTAGAAAATGGATGGATTGATGGATGGATGGATGAATGGTTCCCAGAATGCACTGTATTAACTGGTTTTCAAACACAGTTTTCAGAAAAAAATAGTTTCAAATCATGATCACGTAACATCACAAAACAGTGATGTATGCCTGTCTTTTCTTCAAGTAAAAGAAACCCTGGATCCAAAACTGATCAGCTTCCCGTTTGTTTAACTGAATTAAAATATTCTGACCTCCAGCAGAAAAGGAGTCATAAAAGAATCACAGATTCTCCAATAAGAGACAATGTCTCTTTCTAATAATGTGTCTCTCACCATTTTTACAGAACACAATAAAAGTTGAAGCAGGAGCTGTGGAGATGCAGATGTGATGTTTGTCATCATGAGCATTTGAACCGTCTGCCGAGACGAGATGAGACCAGAGCGGAACAGAAAGGGCGGAGAGAGGAAGGGACTGTGTAAGAGCCGTTAAAGGATGAGAGCACATGTTTCACCAGAACCTTGAGCTGGGTTCATGGGCCATCAAGTACCTCCAGAACCAGGAAAGAGTTGCTGCTTTGAACTGGGAAATCAAAGTCTGTTTTCTTCTAAGGTCACACGTTGTGAACATCCACTTTGACTGTGGCAAAGTGCTGAGCTGACATTTAGACGGATAATGCTGAATAATGCCAGGGTTCTCCTGCCCAGTTCCAGATACATCTCCAAATTTCACGGCCAACTCTTGGAATTAAAAGGGTAAAACTGCTTCAGGTGTTATTGTGTAGCCACCAGTCCTTCGCTGCTCCTCTTTGCTAACAACTGTCCACCTCCAGGAGGAAAACTTACTCACATACACCCACTCCAAAACTTTTAAAATCAGAGACATAAAGAGGAAAGATTCCTAAAACTCTAGAAACCATGCAACAGAGCATCCAGCAAGGCGAGACTCTGTTGCATACAGACACATTTAAAAAAGGAAAAGATGAGTCCATATGAAATACAGCAGAGTAGTAGTTTGAACTGAAGAGCTGAGGGAAGATGACATGAAGACACAAAAAAGGTCAACGCAATAAAAGTTAAAAGACAATCCCAAATCTACATCAGTACATAAAGAACCAAATATGATCTGGAGCATCAACCACAACAAAACCCAAAACTAATCTCAAAATAAAATCAAATTATTAAGGATCATGAAAGTCGGGCTCTCTCAGGTATTAGATGAAGGTTTTGAATGGTTCCAGGAAATGGAAAATATCTTCCTTCAATGGAAGTTTTTAATGAAAGACAGTTATGTCTTTATTATATCACAGAGAATAGTCCATCCAAGAAGGAATTACACCTACAGTTGGTTCGTGGGAAAATGGTTGAGTTGTTCATCCTGGAAGAAAATAAACAAAGACAGACACTAATCTGTCATCATGCCCAAAAAGAAAAACTAACAGGTCATGACAAATTAACATGAATGAATGAATGAATGAATGAATGAATGAATGAAAACACTGTAAGGTATTGACATGAAGCCATCAGACTGCATCCCCTGCTTTGATCTAGTTCACCTATGAACAGAGGAGAGCAAAGGGAAGGAAAGGTTTCTAGGTTCTTGGCTCAGTAAGTTTCTTTCAAGTCCGACATGAAAGCTAGTGTGGTTTTGCGGTTGAATGCTTTGAGAGGAGAAAGAGAAGCTTTGCACAAAAGCAAAACTTAACAGCTGTTTTAGAAATGCTGCAGTGTGAATGCAACTTGCTTTTCTTTATAAACGGCTGGCCCAACAGATAAAAGCTTCCTTTCAGCCTGGAAGTGAGGGGTGGTCCATTCAGGTGGCTCCCAAAATCTAGACAAAGCGGTAAATAACTCAAACGTGCAAGAAGCTTGGCTAGAGTAAAAACGAGCTTAGAGGAGTCTCGAACACACTTCCTGAAGAATATTTTCTCACATGTGGTTTCAAGTGTTTGAAGCAAAATAAGACAGGGAGCTCTGCCAGAGGAGGCGGCTCTGTGCCGTCACGCTGCAGCGCTGCTCCACTCCACGTCTCTCCAGTTCAAAGCGTATCGCTTCCAGACGAGTCAGGCCACACAGAGGAGCTCATTTAGGACAGTCTGATGATGCGTCTTCGTTTCAGCCCCACAGTTCTCTGTCACAACCGTCACAAAAGCACAGACACTGGAACAACGACAGCATCCTGGCTGAAATTTCAGTCTGAGCCACATCTGTTCCCAGTGTGTAAGAACACAGAGAGGCTTACATTTGTTCCTGTTGGAATCAGACCAGAGCGTGTAAAGACTGGGGGAAGTTTGAAAGCATGGCTTGGAATTCATTTAGCTGGTTTCAGTGGCAGGAAAGTTTATCAGCAGGAAGACATTTAATCAGCATCCATCTGACTTAAAACATCATTTTATGCTTTCATGTTCCTCTTCTGGACTGTTTCAAATCATGTTTCTTCTGCAGATCAGAGTCACTTGGATTATGCTTCACATAATTCAACCATATCTGAGGCTTTGGTACACATTTCTATTTATCATGAATTGTGAGCATTGTGAGTGTTGGTCAACATTTAGTAGAACTGCTACACCTGAATTTCGGCTACTTCTATTCTATTCTATTCTATTCTATTCTATTCTATTCTATTCTATTCTATTCACACCCTTTGTTCAATAAATTGAAGCAATAGCAATAATCCTAATCTCATGTTTCTATGGGCTGCAATGCGTAAAGTTAAGCAGTAAAACATTAACAGCAATAACTAATAAACTAAATTAATATTTACTTTGCAAATTAAATATATAGTTTTGGATCTTTTACACACCGCCGTGTATGTTGATGTTTACACAAAGTCCGATTAAAATCCAATTAAAATACATTGAAATGTACAATTCTGATGTGATGAAATTCACATTTAAAAATACTGTATTAGGGACTTAATTAGGAAAATTAAATGTTGTTGTAACTCATTCGTTTAGATTCTTCAAAGAGTTATTAAAGATGGTGAAGGCTGTTGGCAGGAAAGATCTTCTGCAGCAGTCTGTGCTGCAGAGGGTCTTTGAGTCTGAAGAAGCCTCTGACTGAAGATGCTCTGGCTTCTCCAAACAGTCTTGTGAAGAGGATGGTCATAATTTGTTCGATCCTATGAAGAATTCTTCTGTGCGTCATCATCTCTATGGATTCTACAGTCGTCCCCAAAACAGGACCAGACAGAACCAGACAGAGCCAGCCTTCTGTATCTGGCTGCTCAGTCTTTGCGGCACTGTGTTTTCTTTTTTATTTCCTGTATGTTAAAACCTCAGAAACGTGAAAAAAAAATACATAATTCACTTCCTGCGGCTCGTCATGTAGCTTCTGTGACCATGGAAACAAAGGCTTTTGAAAACTAATTTTTCACCAGCACTGCTAAAGGCAGTAAGGCAGAGCTGCCTCTCTTTCCCTCAGTCAGTTCCATGAGAACGCAATGAGAATCCATGAGGTGATGTAATCCAGGCAGATCTCTGTCTGACAGCCATCTTAAACTTCTACTACTCACAGGATCCATTTCCACATCAGTAAGCTCACAGCTCCTTCAACTCATTCCGTTGCCACAGCAACCACGTACCACCTCTGGCTTCCAATGTGTCTGAAGGGCAGTAGCCCCTAAAACACCCCCCACACCCTCCAAACAAAACAGATAGTCGTTTTTGATTCTTTAGAAAGTGATTGTAGATTATTGTAGGTGTTTTTTTTTTCTTGGTTTTTTTTGTAAATCTGTCATACAATGTGAACAGATCTTAATATTTTGATCCATCCTGCCAATGTTTGCCTGAAGAGGGCAGTGTTGAGTCTTTTCTCACAGCTCCAGAGAGGAATCTACACAAACCTGCTGTGTCACAACCAGCAGTATGAATTCTGGACCACCCATCCACCATTAAAGGTCCTGGCTAGATTCTAAACCTCACTGACCCTCACCCCAGAGGAAAAACATCTCTGTGTGTGCGTATGCATGCATGTGTATTTGTGTGTGTGTGTTCTTCTATGCACGCATCAATGAATGTGTGGAGCAGCCAGAATGGGAAGGAAGGTGAAAGAGGAGGAGGCCAGGGAGCAGCTCTCTCTCATCACTGAGTAATGTTTGGCGCTGGCTTTTTTCTTTTTTTTTTCCACTTTCAGAAAAGAGTGGAGCAGCATTGTTCCTTCAGCTGCTCCGTATGTGTCTGTTCTCTTTCTGCCCTCTTCTCTTTTTCTGGCCCCCCCCCTCTTTTTTCCCCCCAAACCCCCCCCCCCCCCGCCTTTTTAAAGTCGCCCCTCAACTCCACCCAGTTAAACCCCTCTGAAGTCCCCACACTTCATCTGGAAAGGCATCACACGGTGGTGTGTGT